CAAATTACAGAGCGCAATAAATTAAAGAAAAAAAAAAAAAGAAACAATAAAAACAAGCGGCACAAATATAATATATATAAATTTAAATAAACAGAATAAGCAACAGAAATCTACATAAATGTATTTGTTGTGGCTGTGACAGAAACAAAATAACATATAAAATAAAATAAAATACACGAAAATAAAATACTTGGTGCCAAAATAAGCAAAATAAACCAAAAAGCTAAAAAATTAAAGCTCAGAGGAAGAAGTAGAACAACAAAAACAAAACAAAAACAAAAACAACAACAACGACGACGACAACAACAAGATGGTTGGCAAAGTTTTGGGCATACGTGAGTTGGAACAGTTCAGCAGTCGTCGCAGCAGCATCTACGTTGATCCCGAGTGCGAGAAATTCTTTGAGCTGCCCCTGTTTATAGCGGCCAGCTCGAATGATATAACGACCAAATGTCAGTGCTGGCAGTTCAGTCCAGGTAATAAAACTCCCCTCCCTCGACCATATACAGAGATTCCGAACATTAAAAGAGCAAATAGCGACAACAACAAATGCTAATAAACTCAACTAATTTCCAGTGTAAACAGCAAGTTGTTTAAAATAGATATTTTTTTTAAAAGGTTAAGAGTTTTACTGAAACTTTTGGGGGAAGGGCAGCAAAATGTCAGTTTTTATTGATTTTATTTGGAAGACAGTCTGAAATGTTGACTGTTCATTTATCGTGTTTTCAAATCCATTTTAACTGCAAGCATTAAACTGATTCAAATGGCGAAAGCTTGTTTTAAGATGAAGATCTGGGAGTAAAATTATTCAAGTGTATTAGACTTGAAAACAGCGCGTTAAAACTAACAGAAGCTTTTAAAATAATAGAGTACAACCTCAATAGCAATAAACATTTTTAATGTAACTATGACCATATACAGATGTATTATTGCTTATTTTTTGTCAATTTAGGTTTATATAAATAGAACTTGTGTAATGAATTAAATTAGTTTTACTTGAACTAAAAATCTACATATTTTCGTTAATTTTTATTTAAAATTTTATTTAATATACAATTTTTATATTTATTTAAAAAAAAAAATTATTTTTTGTCTTATTTTTGACTTTTGTTATTTACTTTTTAATTTTGTATATTTAATTTCATAAAAGCTTAATACAAGTTTTTTTTAATTTTTACGGGGCCATGTTTAATGGCCATAAGACTGATTGCATTTTGCATTCAAATTTAGCTCTCCAATTTGTTAATGTTTTTTTATTTTTTTTTATTTTTATTTTTTACTACTAAGCAGCAGCGGATTTTGCTGTGCTTAGTATGTATATATTTCACTGATTTTTCATTTAAGTTTGCGATTGAAAAATTACAATTGATAATAACTATTTGAAATTCCGAAATAAATGAAATTGATGTCGCAATCGACAATTTATTGATTTAAAAATGCTTATGTGAGCGTGTGTGTGTGTGTGTGTCTGAGTTTTTCTCAAAACATTTTCATATTGTGAATGCAAGTCAAATGCAAATGTGCGGAGATTAATTACACACGCTTAACCCACACAATAGCATACACACACCACAAATGCAAACGAGCCTCAGTCAATTATACCAGTTTTTATTGTTATTGCATTTACATCCTCTCCATACCCCCCACACACCCCCTAAGCCTTCACAGATCTATATCAATATCATTCTCGCGTCATCTGATATATGCAGCAGAGACCCACAACAATTTTGGTTAAATGATATAAAAAATTTAAAAACAAAAACAATTCAAAACGCAATAAAACAGTCAGTCGATTTATAAATACCCTATAACAAAAAAATCCTATAAAGTATTTAAAATGGCTTTATTTCTTATATCTAAGTACTGCATATACGATGATCAAGGCCTACTTACAAAAATGTGTCACTTAAAACAATAATATATAATATAATAATTAAATAAAGAAGTTCGTTTTAATCGATTCTCATAGACCAACTATCATATTAAGATATAATCGATAGCCTGTATACCCTATCCTCATCATGATTTTCAATGGGTATGACGAAAAAAAAAGAGCTGATTGTAATTTGCTGTATCTGTTGTGATTCGTTAAAATGAGCAAATTTACCCAATGACTGGCGCTGAGTCGAGCGCTTATCAGCGCCAACAACGCCAGGAACCTGAGGCCACTATTAACGGCAACGACAACAACAACAGCAATAATAACAAATAGCAAATAAAGCAAACGCTGGTGATAAGCAGACGAGCAACTGTCTTGCAAAAATCGATCAGCTGTCGGGCGAGCTGGTAATGGGACTTGTAGCCAATGCACAATCAATTACCCAGAGAATCCGATACCTAATCAACATGGCAGCTCTATTTCGTATAGCTGCACCCGACTCAAGTGTTTGGCCCCAGTGGCGTGTCTTGTGCCTATTGCGATCCTCCTTGAGCAACCAGCTGACCAGCGATAAAGATTTCAATTACGTAGTTAAGCACAAAATACTTCAAAGCTCTGACCAACAATCGATCTAACAGTTTGTCATACTTGTATCGGATTATGTTGTGGACGGGTGTAAAAAATATAATTGGAATAGAAATTACTAACGAAATATCGTTGATAAATAAATAAATACTTTAGATTAAATATAGTATTTTATTTTTATGATTTTCGTTAATAGGTCAAGTGTTACTAAATTTTGCTTAGCAATTTCAATGTGATGCGTTATAAATCTAATATTCTTAATATGTTCATCTTGTGGCTCTAATTTGAACAATCTAGAAGGTTATGCAATTCAATTAAAATTTGTGTCGGCCCTAAAACGTCTAAAATGAAACCAGAATGAGGTCATCAAATAAACGAGATCAGATGTTGTTTAATTTCTTATTGAATTAATGATTTTGCCACTTTCAACGGCATTTAATTTCAATATTTAATTGTTCGCTGAAAAATTATACTACTATAAATATTGATACAAATTAAATTAAAACTGTTTTGCATTTGTAATACAAAGCAAAGTTATATTGAATACTACAGTTTAAACAGCGTATATGTATAGCTAGGCATAAATATTAATCAAAGTCTCAACTTCGATTTAATTTCTATTTGATTTTCAATTTATTTACTTTAAAGTCTGTAGTTTATATTATATTTAATGCAAGTTATCTACAAGTGCTAAAAAGTAGTAGAACGGAATATATGTATGTATATAATAAATGTTGCATTATTGCTATCATTTCAATTCAATTTTAATTATAAGTCCCAGCGCCCCAGCGGTCACTTAAAATCAACTAACTTTATGTATGTAGAACAAGCATCTATCAATAAAGCTTATCACATATTGCAATAAACACATACAAGCGCGTACACACACACACATGCACACACCCTCTCACACATACACACACTCAAATTAATTGCAAACTCAAGTATTTTATTTGCCACTCTGACGTATGAGTAATTTTTATTTTGCGTTCTTGCTGACAAATTTACGTACTTATCTGCAGCTCAAGTCGGCTTTTTTCTCTACAATATTTTTTCTATACTTCAGTTCATGCGGCCTCCAGCTGCAAGCTCAATTGGTTGGACTGGGGAACTGTTTGGGGCAAGCGTGTTTGACTTAATTCCTTATCAATCATAAATGTCGCATAGAGTCTTAAGTGGTACTAGCTAAACGGCAGCTGCAACTGACCAACTTATCAGCCGACACTTGAGCTGACCAACAGGGGTTTATATCGTAAAATACATACTGTGTATATAAAAAGTTATATTTAGCTGCTCTGTGGCATGATTTACAATACGATGCAGCATTTTGAATAATCAATTGTATACCCTATGATGCACAGCTGTAATTCAAAACTAATTAGTGGGGTTTGATATGTAGAAAACATTTACCTTTAGCTATATGCCTGTCTACCCATATTTATTATTTAATTATATATATGACATATAAGTTTATAATATATAAAGATTCGAATATAGGTCAAGCTCTAGCTTAAATTTTTTAATTATTGAAAAAATTAAAAATAAATTCTTTGATTGCTTCATCTAATCTGTATATGTTTCAATTTGTAATTAGTAGCGGCTGATAAAAACAGCAATTAGAGAATTGATTTATATATAAACACTACTCTGAGATACGTCAGATAAGATTAAAAACAGTCGAGGAAAATGTCGGAAGAAATTAAATATATAACTTTTTAATAAAAAATAATAAAAAGTAAATATATACCAAGGTAATTTCTGTATGCTAAATTTATTTAAGTACAACCAAAAATATAAATTTAATTTATATATACATATAAGCAAAATTGAATTTACAAATAATTTAGGGTATTCTCAAGTGTATCACTGAACAGTTCTTTGGCAAAATTTTTTTTATTTATTTTATTTATTTTTTTTTGGTTAATTTATTGTGTATTGTTAGACATATTTATTATTTAATTATATATATGACATATAAGTTTATAATATATAAAGATTCGAATATAGGTCAAGCTCTAGCTTAAATTTTTTAATTATTGAAAAAATTAAAAATAAATTCTTTGATTGCTTCATCTAATCTGTATATGTTTCAATTTGTAATTAGTAGCGGCTGATAAAAACAGCAATTAGAGAATTGATTTATATATAAACACTACTCTGAGATACGTCAGATAAGATTAAAAACAGTCGAGGAAAATGTCGGAAGAAATTAAATATATAACTTTTTAATAAAAAATAATAAAAAGTAAATATATACCAAGGTAATTTCTGTATGCTAAATTTATTTAAGTACAACCAAAAATATAAATTTAATTTATATATACATATAAGCAAAATTGAATTTACAAATAATTTAGGGTATTCTCAAGTGTATCACTGAACAGTTCTTTGGCAAAATTTTTTTTATTTATTTTATTTATTTTTTTTTGGTTAATTTATTGTGTATTGTTAGACATAAACGTAGTGCATGACCTATCCTAAGTTCTATTCTCTTGACTTGTACTAAACGTTTGGTGTGTTTGCTTTTGTCTTCCAGGCAAAGAGCCGGCGCTACGCTCTTTCACCGAAATCCAACAGCTGCTGCAGCAGAACAAGAAACGCGATGTTAAGAACATACTCAGAGAGAACTCGTGGCCCATAAATTCACCGATACGCTCACAATTGTGGCCAGCACTATGCGCCCAGCACTTGACCAAGCAGAATATTGTAGATGGCTTCTACTGGGAGATGGTGCATCAGGTAAGACTAAAGCAATATTATACTGAACCACTATATATGTATTTATTTATATTGATTATCTATCGAACAGGTCTTTGGCACCACGGAGCTGTCGGAGAAGCCCATCATGCTGCCCGCATTTGTGGATGCCACACACTGTTTGCCGTATCACTTAACCAGCACGGGACGCGCTGTTGCCGATCGCATTGTGAACGTTTTGGGCTATGATTGTCCCGACATTACCTACAGTCCAGTATTGTATCCAATTACATCGTTACTTTTGCATTTCATGTCGGGTAAGTGCCTATCCTCCATCTCACTTCACTTCTCATCACTTCAGTTGAGTTCACTTCACGTGACAGAAAACGAAATCTGGATTGTAATTCGTTTTACATGTATTACACACGCTAGACGCACTTGGGGCGCAGCAGCACTTACTTCATGCGCTGTGTTAAATATTTGTTTTTGTCATCATTTGAATTTGTTGTTGTTGTTGTTGTTGTTGAGGTTGCTTTAACAAACAAAATATACACGAATAATTGGCACAATTGTAAATCGCTGCTCGAAGTAACTCGCAGCTCGGCGCAAATTGATGTATCGTGATTTTTCTAGCTAATTGGTTTGGTCAACAGGCAGGCGGAAAGACAGGCAGGCAGGCAGGCAGGCAGGCAATCAGGCACTGAGCCAACAATTTTAGCCATCTCAAATACACTCAAATCAATAAGACACTTCTCATCTTGACCCTTCAAGCATGTGAAATCAAAGTGTATATATATACTCTATATATGTATATATGTACGTGTGTGTGTTTATATATTTACTTGCTTATTGTTGCCTGAAGTTAAGCATGTGTGACCTTTAGGGCTTATTGTATTTGTTGCTTGGCTTTGTGCTCTGCTTTTATCACTGTTTCCTGTATTGCTGAATAGACTGTGGCAATATTTACATTACGAATTAGTTATTCCTTTATTGTGTGTTTGCATCAGATATGTATGAAATAGATAGAAGAAGGACAGCGCCACAAAATATTAACAGCCAAGTCGAATGAACGTGCTCTACAGCACGCGCAGAGCAAACTTGCTGTCAAATAATCGAAAGTTTGTTCAAATAACTTGTTTTCAGTTTAGTTTATTTCAAAGTCAATCGCAATTATAATTGAAGTTTATATATTTTATAGAACTTTCCAATTGTCTGCAAAATGGTTTACTTTATAATAATGTATTTTAAGAATGAGTTGTTCTGGTATTACATCTTGATTATGTGCATTAGAAATAATTTAATCGTGATCACAATATAGCCATTATCAGAATCAGTCAAAACTTATAGACTGATCATTTGGTTTTTCCTATGTTGGAAGAGTGAGACCCATACAATGCGACGCTAATTGATCAATTTCTTCTTTTTCATATATCACACTTTTCAATTTACATCTTTAAGCTATTCGAAATTTGATTATTCTGGTGGCGAGTGGGCAGAGATTGGCCAAACCGCTTAATTGCAACCAGAATAAATCGGATTTTTTTATATTTTATTAAAAAAATAAAAATAAAAATAAAAGCTTCAACAGTTTTGTCATAAATTAATAAATATTTATGAGCAAAGCATTTCAATACGAATTTATTTATTGCATATAATGTATCTTCTTCTATAAAGAACTTTATTGCATGGTTATGTTTGCCTTGCTAAAAAGTTTAAATATTTTGCTAAATTGAAATGATGTAAATATTAGAAATGTAAATATTTAGAATATTTAATTTGATTTTTATTGGTTCATTGAATTTATGAAGTTTTATTACGGGACAAGCGTGATTGAAAGATATGTAGTAAATATTATGATTGTGGAAACGAAGCCTAAGATTGATTGATTTGTTCCTCTCCTAAACACTTTTTATGATGACCTCTTTTGATTTAGGCTGTTGTTTTGTCAACATTTGAAGCTGTTTCGCTTTAGATTAGCGCAGCTCCCATGCAGCGATCACCTGCCTGAGATTAGAAATGACAGCCGCGTGGCCTCGATACTGTGTAAACCTTTAATATTTTCATTTATGATTAGCTCTTGTAATCTCATTAATCTCAGCTGCTGAACTCTGAACACCCTCATTCCCTGTGAAAAAACAAGACAATTAATCGATTTGCATCTGGGTTCAAGAGTGTGCCGCACTCAATTTAGAATACGGATTATCTTTTGAATTATACCTATCGGCACGCTAAATGCACCCAACGTAGGCAGGAAGGGGCTGGCAGAGGTCTTCGTTTACGATTAATATGCGACGTAAATCGGGAGGCACATAGGCAGGCGTAGGTCCCACTGCAGCTGATAAAGCTGCGCCTGATAAGCTCACCCCGGCAGCCAGCGGCGAGCGGCATGAAAAGAGGCCGACTTATGTCTTTCTCCCTCGCTTAGTTTGTCTGTCTACGTTTCCGAGTTTTGAAGGTTTGTTTACACTGCGAATATAAAACAAATTTCACTGAAATGTCTGGGGACTGCGATTCCGGGTCAAACTCAAGGTAAACACTATAAATAGTAAGCAATCCCTCGTTTAGACTACAAAGTTTCTAAAATCAAAATTACTAGTCAGAAGATCGCAGAACAGGAGCTTGCAAAAAAATTATATTTCTCGATAAAAATAATGAAAAGAAGATGAAGCAGCAAGCAGAAATAATAATAAAATTTTGAGTTGCATTCTCAATCAGCACTTTGTGCATTTCAAGTTCAAAAGTCGCATATAAACAATGTATAAAACTGTTCAAGATGTTGATATACATTCGTTTACACTTGCCTCCCCATTTATGTTTATATACATTTGTACACACAGCTTATATGTGTGTATACACATATGTATGTATATCATGTTTATATTGACACTTTGCATTACTTGCCGACATCTTGTTGACGTCATTGACGAATCGTTGTCTGCGTTGTCTTCATTGAATTTTATGCAAATTTTTGTTCGTTTTGCCACTGGAATAAAAGTAACAGATCAACGGCACAAGACTACAAATATTTCACTACAGTGACTACCCAATATGTGTGACAATATAATAAGCTTTGATTATAATTTAATGTTTACATTTCTTTTGTGCATTTTATATAAATTTACTTCTTTCTAAAAATTGTTTATACTCGATCTTTTAAACTAAAAGTAAACAAGAATTTAATATGATAAATTACTATCATTTTTATAAATATCCCTCTACTTTTAAAAATATTTAACTAACTGTAAATACTGTAAAATCTAATTACATGAATTTGCTTGCAAACTTTTACAGTTTACTTATATCGTATAACTACTGTGGCTGCAACATGTGACATACATTTTTAGCTTTGTTAGCTTTGGCTTGCCTTAGATCTAGAACTATAATTGTTGTTTATTTTTGTCTTTTTTCTTTTATTTGGCATGTCTCGCAAATTGTTGCTAATGACGCCAGCACGTGAGCATAAAATTCGCATAAAATACAATTGACAAACCCATTCAGATTCGAATTCGCACCGAGATATTGCTCATTCTCTCTCTCTCTCTCTCCATTCCCCAAATTCAATCCCGAACGCAACGAAGCCAAACAAATGCGCACATTTTATATATCATCTTGGCGTTTGCTTTTGTTTTATGGCCGCTTGTTATTCTGCCGTTCTGTTTATGCCCTACCCAAACATTATCCGAGCTGTGCATATTTGTTTTTGCACGGCTTTTATATACATATACATACATGGAGAAACATGGAGCACCCCCTCCTTAGCTAACACCCTGATCTATAAATACTTTTGTCTTACGTGTTCTGTGATATAAAATATAGAATCCAAATCATTCGACTTGACGCACTAAGAACTTATAGAGCTTGAGGGTTAAGACTTTGCTTAGCATTTGCATATTTATGAAGGTTCAGCATAGAAGCGAAAGCTCACTAATACATGCACGTACTCGTCTGTGTATTGGTGTGAGTGTTTGCGAAAATCTCTCTCGAAATACCTGAGCAAGTGCTGCGACTCTGATTAGAGCACTCAAACAATGTTTCTTTTGAGCTCTCTTATATATCTAACGATGCGTGACTTGAATGCCAGAAGGGCAGAGACTCAACTAAACATGGAATAGTTATTATATGTATATACACATATATAGTGTTATATTGCCAAGTTATTGAACTCTTAGCAGGTTTTTTAGAATGAGTGTTTATTATGAAGCGCTTTCGTTTATTTCAATTAGGAATGATTATATACAACAAATATTTATTTTTAAATATGAAAAAAAAAAATATTAAAATATATTTTTATATAAATACATACATATATTTTTGTTTTATAAATATATTTATAATATATTTTTACTAAATTCCCATTCAGAACACATCCCTTATGACTAATAATAATTTTGTTGGCCATTGTGTTTGCCTTCACACATTGTAATCTGACATTCTCAAAATCGTGTGATTAATAATAAAAAATAAACTGAATTTTCTTATGCCCTTTACCTTGATAAAAATGTTTACAAATATGAAGATTATAAATAATTTTAATATATGAAAAACGATTGTATGCCTATTCGCACTTTTCAAGTTCAACAGCTGCTGTTTTTCTTCGGTTTTGTTTTTTAAAGGGCATTGCAATTTCCACATGGCTCAACTCAATTAGCAGCTCCTACAGTAGAACAAAAAAAAACTATGTTAAATTATTTGTGTGGCTTTCATATAAATGCTGTTTACACGTTTAGAGATTCGTTATTTATTTTTATTTTTTTCTCTCAAACATTGTTTATGTTCTTTGGTTTTTTTATTTTTTGCGCTGGGTTCTGTTTTTTGTCTAAGGCTTCCTCAGTTTCTAACCACAAATGCTAACTGCTGCTCGACTGCAGTCTATCAAAGTCGCATTGCGTACATGATTGATTGAGTGAAGAGTGAGTGCCACTATCACACCCGAGCTCCACTCCTGGCCGCAACACGTGAGCTCTGACGTCAAATGGAAACGTGAAAAGGGGCTGCGATTTTTTGAACCAGTTTTATTATGACTATATTTTATATTAGCGCTGCTTATCGGTTCAATTGGTGTTATAAAATTAAAATGCAAAACCGTTCGTCCAATCCCCTCTGCTCGTAAGCAGCTAATCTATTGTCCAATTAAAAGCTTAACAGTGAGTGGCTGTGGCAGCTGTTAACTATTTTTAGACAAACGTAGTAATTAGAGCACGATTAATTCAACATTTGTGCTTTAAAAAAAGAAATTCTTGGCAGATTTACAGACAAGCAACTGTGCGCGCTTTGCTTTAAATAGAATTAAAGTCAAATATTTAATGATATACACTGCAGTGAGAAGTTGTTCTTATCATATGTTGCTCTTAGGTTTCCGTAAATGATAAGACACAACTCAGAGATACAGAAGTACAGATAAGTCGCGTCCTACAACTGTGATGCGTATCTGCGTTTACTCTGTTGCAGTCGTCAAAACAATTGATAGCATTACAAAACAATGAACTAACTATTAAGGGCGATGGCAAACTAAGCCAAACTGCCTTAGACCGATGCGAACCGCAGCGAAGCCAACTGATAAGCTCAATACTGATAACAGCTCAAAGCTCAGCTGCTGTGCTGTAGTAGTGCTCTATGTGTATGTGTAAATCAATGCAACTGGCGTTTATTTATATTTCAAATGTCAACTCAATGCAAAAAAAAAAATAGAAACATAAAGAAAGCTTAAAGCCTTTAAATTGCTAATTGGGCTTAATAATAAAAAAAAAAATAGAAAAATTAAAAATATGATAATTATGAAATCCCTGCTATCTACACGCCGAATATTATATGCTCTAGATATAGAACTTGGGTGTGCTTTGTTATAATAAATTTTGTTTCCGCTCGATTGTTGCTGGAGTATTTAAAAAGTAAAGCATGTTCTTGTGATTACTGGAGATATCTTAAGAAACACAAAGTATTTGATCGGTTTTCATTAGAAAAGAGATATGATAAGTGGTTCGGCGTTGATTATATTATATAGATTATTCAATTTGTTTGAAATCAAAGGAATATTTCATACAAAAAGTACTAATCTTTTTTTGTTGCTATATCAACTTCATATAAATGATAGTATAGCAGTATATGCAGTTATGTAGGTTATTTATTTTATTTTTAAGCATTTCTAAAGCTCAGTCGCCCTCAGATGATCTGTTTCCATGCATAAGATTTATATAATATAATTTTATAATATTTATTATTCTATATTACATATACACATTGACTTCAAATTTCACACGTTCCCTGATATATCATGATAAAAAATCTATAATACCCTCTGCGAGTGTGCAATAATTGGCCGTCAACACCCACTGGCAATTGCATTTTAAATGTCTATTAAGTACTTCGTTATTATTTGTTGTAATCAGTTTTGTCAACAGTTAACGCTGCTAATGAGCCACACACGAAACTTGACTGCAACACGACAAAAGAGGGAAATAAGAGAATAAATATTATAGGTAGCACAGAGCTAAATAAATAACTCGAATATCTCTGAGAGTTATTTTTAGAGGCAAAGTTTGCTCTCGTCGCGGCAGATTTTCGCATAATTTGGGCTAATTTGTAAATTAAATACATGAAGCAGCGCGTAAAAATGATTAATTTAATAAGCAAATTGCGTGGCAATTTCTGAAAAGCTGCCATAAAAACATCAATTGCCAGAACGAGCTCCAAAGTACTCGAGCCGGAGCTACGCTCCGCAAAGTTAAAGCGTTAAAAGTGCAAAGAGCTGACAAGTGCTTGCATATACTGAGACTGAGATACCCTACAGTCTTTAAAGGTATTAAAAGGTAGGCTTGAAGTGAAAATTCAGATGAAATACTATAGCTCAAGCTTCTCTTGTACTACACTGCGAATAGAGCTTTAAATTCTCATTCAATTAAAAATATAATTGAAGACTTGAATATGTAGGGTATTTTCAAGGTTAAGTCTCTTGGCCTCACCCCCTCTCTGTGAGTGTGTCTAACATTCGCTCAATTGGATTTGCGCTTCGTCATTGCGGTAACGCCCTCGACTCACTGCAGCAGCACCGCAAAACCACACAAAGCTCATCAACCGCAAGTACGACGATGAGCGCGGAACGCGGATTGTGGAACGACCTCAGGAAGCTGCACTGCAAATTGCAATTTGAAATTGTGCAATTAAATTAGAGACAAGCCGCACATATACGCGACCACAAGAGTGGGGCTCGAGTGGTGTGCGTGTGGGGATCTGGCGAGAGTGACAGAGGCGGCAGGCAGTGGGCGCTAGCAGGGTGTCGCTAAGGTTAGGTCTGTTATTGAGTTCCATGTAATTATTCAAGCAAGTGCAACTTGATAACGCATTGCACGCAACCAGCAAGTGCTCCAATATTATGTGATATATACCTATGAATAATACCTATGAAGAGAATTTATCTAATGTTGTATTTAAACTCATCTTGTTTACCTTGCAGAGGAGGAAGCTTACCTGTGCCTGGCGGGACTTGTGGGCAGCAAGGAGAAGACATTCATCAATCAAACCAAACTACAGCATGAGGTCACCTGGAAGACAGTCATGCAAATAGCCAAAAAGCACACAGTATGTCCAAAATAAAATTTACCATTATTTAAAAAAAAAAAAAAAACAAATTAATTTAATTTTATTTTCTGCAATTAATAGAAAAGTGCCATTGCGTATTTCCAACGCATCTGTCCAGGCCAGAAGCTGGAGCGCGTATTCATGGACTGGTGCTGGTGGATATTAGCTGGTCTACCCTTTCAGCACTTGGTGCGAATTATGGATTGCTTTTTTCATGAGGGCATTAAGGTGCTCTATCGCGTCGCCCTGGTCATACTCAATCTCTTTCATAAGGAATGCCAGTCGAACAACGAATGGAGTCCGGATAATATTAAAAACGACATTGGCAATGCGCTCATCAAGTTCTGCAAAAAGATACCAGTATCGCCGGCGAAGCTGCTCCATGCCGCTTTTAGTATTAGGGGACTCAGGTATAGTGACTTGTACTAATTGAAGACGATATAATAACAACAAAATGGAGATAGATTATATTAAATAATTATTAATAATATATACAAGAGTTGTAGCATTCTTATTTATAAATAGATATAAATTAAAAGTCTGTTTTAATTTGATATGCCTACACTTAATGTGATCATCTATATGCACATATTCATATAAGTAAATTTGATACCTTGAATTATTTAACGTAATTAACATAGTAATATGGTATCGGAATCAGAGGAGAGAATCCGAAATCATTTAAATTGTTCAAACTATAGCAAAGTTTTCAAATATAATATACAAATGCTGATATGACATGGCATGATATACGCTACTAAACTAAATAAGTAAAATAATTTGCGAAACTGTTTCTAATATATGTTTGTCTCTCTCTTTTTCTCTTCTTACAGTACCCAGTATATTTCTAGAATATTTATCAAGACTGAAATGCTACTAAAAAGCCGATCCGCGCTTAATAGCGGCTCGAAGCAATTAATCAAATCGCGTTCAAGTGATAATCTGCCCACTAGTCAGTCGCAGGTCAACATCCAAATGATGTCACACACATTGACCATACGAGAGGTAGGTAAACGCGAGACCAGCGCAGTCTCAAACAGAACAGCACATACACGAACCCTCCGAATCCACCAGAAACCACTCAGAACCACACAAACAGCCAGGCAAAAGGAACGTAAATATATATATTTATATATATATAACTACGTTTGCTCCCATATGTATAACTCGATTTAACAGTTCTCAAGGGTCTTTGGAGCCACACAACAACCCCACCCAACCTTAATTTTGTTCAGTCTTTAGTTGAAATTAGGTTCAGGTTCAGTTGAAATATATGAAATGATTACTCTTTATCCACACAGAGCACCGCACACACTTCTACAACTTAACCAATTAATTATTTAAACAATCAACTCTATTTAAACTCTATTAATTTCTTGTTTTTGTGTTCTTTCAAACCTCGCACAACAACAACAACAACAACATCCACAACAAACAACAACAACTCAAATATATAAACAAATATTTTAAATGATACCAATTGAAAAACAAAACTAGAAGCTGCACTCCGAGAGCTGTCGCAATTTGGTATGGGGCTATAAATTATCTCTAGATATATCTATATATATAAATATAATGTATATCATATATTTCTATATACTATATGATGATATTGCTGACTGATGTTTCCAAATCTGCTTGTTTTGTTTTTCATAATTAATTAACTAAAAAAGAAGAGTCCTTCGCATGTTGCAGTTAATATAAAAAATAAATAAAAAAGCCATGCGCAGGATCCAAAAATTTAATGTTCTTAACGTTTTGTTTGAGTTTAAAACTAATTGGTTAAAGGCAATGACTTATGCTGATTATCCAATAGATAGGAACTTCTAGAGGATTTTCGGCTAAAGGAGTTAGCGCTTTTGCGGCCAATTATTTTCTGTTGTGTTCTCTGAATTTTTCCTCTTTTGCTGCAGTTTTATGAATGTTTACTGCGAAAAATGATTAAAAGAAACTAATTACAATAAAAACTGTGCTTGAGTTTGGTTTCTCTGACTTTTTATCAAAGCCTAACAAGCCCAAAAACAACACAAACACGAAACAACAACAATAATTAATCCAAAGCTTTTTATCCGTTTCCGTTCCGTTTCTTAACACAAATTTGCATTTGCGATCCGCTTTATTTTTATAATTTTTTCTTGGACTTTTCATTTTATCGCACTTCGTTTGCACTCCAAGGCCATACAAAGAATCATATAAATAAACACATTCAAAAACAAAAACAACAACAACCACAATACATACCCAATTTTAATGCCAAAAATTGTCACTCTATATACCAATATTAACATAATATAATATATATAAATATAAAACTGTTATTTCTACTTTTCTTGTATTTTGCGCTGCCTTGGCAAACTTTGAATGAAAAAAAAAAAAAAATTTAATTAAAATAAATCTAAAAAAAAAAAAATATTTATAAAAAAAACTGATATAAAAAAAAAAAAAAAAAAAAATTCGTGCGCTTATCAACATACAAATTTCATTTCTCTCGAAACTGACATTATATATCATATGCATAAAAATTAAATATATGTATATATATTTAAATGTATATATATATGCCATTGTGTATATAGGGCGAAAAGTCGCCTGGTCATAGAGCTATCGCCATGGGTGTCTATCCCATACACAATCTGAAAAGTCAAGTCTGTAAGAACGAAGATGTAAGTCCAGAGAGCAGTCAAAACGCCATTTGCTAAACCTTTTTTTTGCTAGTATATCCCAACGTAAATATATAAAATTTCTTATTTTTTAAAGTAATATTGTAAAGCAAGATTATCAACATACAACAACAACACCTAAGACAACGGAATGTTTACGCTTATCAAACTGCACCCACAAGTCTCTCTCTATCTCTCTCACTCACTCTCTCACTCTGTAATTCAACGGCACTTCTTATCGAAGTGCTTCACCTTCCCTTAATATATAGTTCACTCTGCATGCCCTCTGATGATGGATGATGTATGCAATGATTGAGTTTCCCCTTTTGTTGGCAATATTTTCTATTAAATTATTATAGCTAATTGATTTGAGTTTTTGTTTTCTATTTATTTGCTCTAAAATTAAGTCGATTATAGTCTTTAGCAGCAGAAGGGCCCAGCATCCCGTTTCCTCCCCTCCCCCGACCCAATGAAAACAGTATCCCATGTCAAATTGCAAATCGATCATTCAATTCGAATCGCATCTAATCTTGACATTGCTATATATCATCTTTTTTCATAGCATTTTGGTTTACCGGGCACAACGAATTTCATTAAAACCTGGACGGATAGACAATTTGTAAGCACATCTATCTATTACGAGCCAACATTTTACCAACAACAAAAAAAAAAATACCAAGCAAAACGTGAAAAACGCGAATGATCCAAAGAAATTCCCATTCCAATCTAAAAATATATATATACATATGTATATAAAACAATTACATCGTGTGCCGTTTTATTAGAAAACTTAACAAAAAGTCCTTCCCCACTTAGTGCTAACTCCCAAGAACACTTCTTCACTCTCTCTCTCTCTCTCTGTCTGTGTCTTACTTCCACCCACTCTCTCTAATTGTGTGTTTGTGTGTGTGTGTGCGTCCCTTGTATTGGTTAACCATACGTCTCCATTTTTAGAGCCTACACAAATCGCAATCTCACTTCATTCTGCAGTTTGGCAGGCCGACAGTTTGACAGTCACATCATACAGTTTAACATGCGCTGCTGCTGGCCAAAAGAAAAAAAAATACAGATAATTCAAGCATAATCGTTTTCGTACTTAAATCAGTAATTTCATTTGTTTTCATTTTATATAGCTCATGTATTAACTTGGCTTTTAGTTACTCTAATTCTTTTTGGCCTTTTAGTTAAAATGTTTTAGTCCCAATTGCTGTCGCTCTTGCTCTCTTGCTGTCAACCCGTTTACCTCTCTGTATCTACCACACGCCCCGCCTAATTTTGTTATTTGTGTGTGTTTACATATTATATAGAGTATATATAATTATTTTAACTGTTTTAAACATTGGCTAATGCTACCTTTTTTTATAGTTAATTGTAGTTAACTTTTTGCCTAATAATATATCTCCGCTAATTCCCAAAAAAATGTTTTGGTTAATTTGAATGTCTCCCTAATGAATTTTGTTATTCCTTCTGACAGCTGTTCACGCTGTGGTCCTGGCTGCCCGTGCGAATCACAATGTACCAACCCGTGCTGCTCTATACCACCGAGGAGCACGGCTGCTCCCTGACCACCTTCTACGTGCGCGTCGAGCAGCATGAGCCCACGCTGCTGATGATCAAAACGTGCAACAATGAAGTAAGTTAATGTGTAATTATGATGTCATTATCGTGCTCTTCTAATTCAATGAAAATTTGGTGTTTAGGTATTTGGCGCCTACTGCTCCTCGCGCTGGTTCGAGCGCAACGTCAAAGATGACAAGGGCCAGAGACAGGCCTACTTTGGCACCGGCGAAACCTTCCTCTTCTCTCTGTATCCCGAGCGTGCCAAATACCCCTGGGTGGGCATCGAGGGCGATCGCGATTTGGGCCATAGCTCAGAACTCTTTATGGCAGCCGATTCCAAAATGATAACAATTGGCGGCGGGTGAGTTGAAATCTATATGTATAACTAAACAATGACATTATTATGTTGCTTTTGAATTAGTCGGTGAAATCTGTCTAGGAATTTAAACTTGATTTTTCTTGGAAATTAGAAAACCATAATTGATTTCTCTTCCTTTGTTGTTTGCAGTGAGGGCCAAGCTATTTGGATGGACGAGAATATACGATTTGGCAAGACGGACGGCTGCAAGACCTTCAACAATCCCCCGCTTTGTCCATCGGGCGACTTCGAGATACGCGTACTGGAGGTGTACGGCTTTGTGGGCGTTTAAGGTCATTAGGGCCGCATGGACCCAACACTCAAAACCGAAACCAAATTGCCCGCCGATGTTCAAGTGCTCAGCGTTAAGAGAAACCCGCACCTATGCTCCTCTCAGCCCTATTCATCCACACCTATTCACACACATACACACACAAACAGACACACAGACGCAAGCAACGTGAACGCTTGTGCATCCGGCTTTTGCGGAAATATTAGGCAGAAGCCGAGAAGAAGATAGAGAGATGATGATGCACAGGCAGACGAAGAAGATTTGTGTAAACATTTAAGAAAGTTTATTTATAAATATGTATCTAAAACGAAACAAAAAAAAAGGCAACACTCGTTGTCGTCATTGTCGTTGTAATGTTAAATGTTTAAAACCCATTGCGGGAATGAAAAACAAACAAATTATATATTATATAATGGAAATACTCTGTGAGTTAATGTTTCAAAACGCAAAAGCTTTGAAATTATATACATTATACGATAGTTGTTATTCATAAAAAAAAAAACTATATTATAATATATATTTCTATATATATGTATATCTAAATGTAAATCGTAAAACGTAAACCTATTTCTATATAACGACTTTAAAAAGCAGACAACAAACAAAATATATTCCTTAAATGAAAAGCAAACGAAAATCTGAAAACCACTAAAAAAAAGAGAAAAATCAAATCAAAATTTCTTGTTGAATTTGTCTGCACACTTTTGGTTAATATTATTATGTTTATTGTAATTGGTATTCTTATTATTATTATTATTTTTTCTGCTTTCTGTAAACCAAATTTACTGACTTGACTGAATTCGTTATAAATGTTATTAATATTATTATTACATATGTGTATAAATTATATACTTTGTAAATTGCATTGGAAACTTTTTTATTTTCTTACCTATTACATGTATGTACACATATATCACTGTTAACTGGAAATCGCCGCATGAATTGAAAGCAAACCGCAAACACGTAACTTGCAGAGCAGTGTAATAGTTATATAAAATTCTTATAGACATGCTATAGCTACGATTAGAAGCCACACTTAAGCTACTTGGGCGTGCAAGGCGGAAGCAGACAGAGTGGGCCATGGGGTTGCTTGGGCAGGGGTTGGGGGTGTGCACACATGTCGCATATTGATCTCATTTATGATCCGTATCCAAAGCTTACAACAAATTCAATGTTTATTTAAGATTCATTCCATTTGTGCATTGCTCAAATTATACTTGATTTTTGTTTTGTTTTCTTTTTTGCAGACAACAAGTTTTGAATTGTTTTATTTTATTCTTCTTATTGCGACAACTTTATCATTTCTTTCCATTTTTCTAGTCAGAGAAAAGAGAAAATTGTTGAGAACATGCTGTGCACAATATTCGTTTTGCTTTGTTTCTTATTGGCGCTTAGGCACGCCCATTTTAGCGACTGCTCCTTGCACTACTCAAGCGAATTGTTACAATCACAACGAATACAAACAACTTATATAGAAAATACGTAAACAGTAATAGAAACTATATACATGTATGTAAATTATGCCAAAAACGAAGAAAAGTTGCGATTTCGCTGCTGTAGCTGCGCCGACTCAAAAAGTCTATGCGCCACTCAATTTTCGATCGCATAGATCACAACTCCACAAACAAATGACTCAAGACACATTTCGGAGCTGGTACTCCAAATAAATACCCGAAACACACACTTCACACACTCACACAAAGGCAAGGCGTGGCAGCGAAATTTGTAAAATTTATTTTTGTGACTGGCTTAAACGAAAATATAACAAACAAAAAAATAATATAAATATATATGTATTTTATAACTTTTAGTTTTTATCAATTAAACTCTCTGTGTTGTTGAAAGAATATTGTGTATGTAAGCAGCATTATACCCATGATAGCCTAGTTGAAACGTTTGATCAACTCAAAGAAAAAAAAATATGTATAAAAATATATTTGTTACTTGTTTCTGCGCTGTTGATAAAAGATTTTTAATTTACTCGGTTGACTATTCATACAACACCAAATGCTCCGACGCGACGCTCGTTGGGCTGAGGCTAAGGCTGAGAGATGGAGGCGATTGCGGGTGCGCTCATTTATATGAACAGTATTTGGCAAAGGGCAACAAACAGTCAACTAATTCATTATATTTTGTACATACAATTGTTCACATTGTTTTTCTATATATATATACGAATATATATAAATATACATTTATATGAATTGTTCTCTATGTGTAGTCGTTGTTAGGTTTCGATGAAATTAATTGTACAATAACCAACCATTATATAGTGGCATCTAAGTGTGTTATATATATACGAACTCAACTGACGTTATATTATGCAAAACTGAAAAATATAATAATAAATTAAAATACATACCTACAAATATATAGATATATACATGCATACGCGACGTTTGCTAATTGAATTAAAGATCGTATTGTTTTTTTTTATTTTTATTATTATTTTATTTTATGAATTGCAAACAATTACACACACACATACAGTAATAAACGAATAAAATGGAAAAATATGCCCAATTATATATTACATATGTTTAAAACAAAATTATATATATATAAATATTATTATTATTATTATATATATAAAGTGTATGTTAAATCATTTTAGTGGATGTATAAAAAAAAACAATAAAAACAAAACAAATATATCAAAAAGTGATTTTTTTATAATTTCCAGAAATTGTTTTGAGATTCACAATTATAGGTTAAGTAGGTATATTAGTCCCAGCATGGCGGCCATCACTAAATTGTGGGCGTGTACGCAACGCCAGCTCAGATTACAAAAATCCTTATGGCAGAACACACAGCCCAGGAAGCTGAGCTGCGGCATCACCGGATCCGGGTTCTCGTCACATACAGATAAATCACCAAATATGCAGGAACGACGGACAAACAGCGTTTCACCAGGTGCTGCAAGCAAACATGAAGACCAGCCACAAATAAATTCGGACATGAAGATATTATAAAGTAAACACACACCAAATTATATTTTCCATTCACTTCCCGTTTACCAATGTAATTTGCGAATTTTTAATCAACTATTGCGCACTTCTATTGCAAAAAAAAAAAAAAAAAACAATAGTTCAGTTTACAAATGCGCGTCACATTTGATAGCGAGCCAAAAATCTGAATGTACCAAATGAGGTAAGTGAAAGGATTACAGTTGAAGCTATATATAGCTGATTGTTATTAGAAATATATTTTTACTATAACTAAAATTGATAATATTGAGTGCGCATATATCTTATAGCTCAAAGACTCTGATCTGTTATAAATGAGACTAAATATATATAAAATTAAGCTGTCTGACTGATTGAGCTGTTTGGGTGTGTAAGGATCGGATTTAATGTTTCTTACAATTCAGCTATGTGCATAGATCTTTAAATTTTTGCCCACTTTCTAATGCTTTCAATAGTTTTTAATCGAAATATCCAGAACAGTCATTTGTTACTTATCACACCTATTAATACATTTTCTGCTCTTCAACCTTTGCCCGCATCTTTTGTTTAGCTTCTATTAGCGAGAATATCGCCCATAGATTTCTCGTACTCACCGTCGCTATAGTATTTGGTTAGGCACGCCGTTTCGGGCCTTTGTAAATAGAAAGCACGCAAATGTTCCGGCAGCTCCATGGAATCGCAGTCTGTTTTGGCAATGTCATCTGGCTGGAAATTATCGCCACAATTCGAGTCGTTGACGGAATCGCATTCATAGCAGCTAACGGCCAGAGCTGTAAAACGTGTGTGCGTGTTTATTTATTTTATTTTCTTCTCTTTTTTTTTTTGCGTGTGTTTAGTATGTGTGTCAACAATGTATGACACGTTCGATGCGCTCACCTGTGGCCGATAGCGTTGCGAGCAGCAGCCCCAGCGTCAACGCCCAATGCCCCAACATAACCAACGGCTTGTATGTTTTTGCGGGGGCACGGGAGTGTGTGTGGGTTTCGCGCACAGGTACGAATACAGATGATGGATAGTTTGTTTCAGTGTGTTAAATGAGTGCACAGATTGGGCCCCGTTGATCGCGCCGGAGCGTCACATGGCCGAACCAGCCGGACGAGCTGCACACACGAGACTGAGCCAACGCCAATCGCATTCTGAATGATGAGTTTTGTATTCATTCTTTTTGCGCTATTTTCTTTCTTGTTTTTTTCCATATAACACATTTGCTTTTCATTTGCCTGACCGCGTCTAGTACTGGTCACACACACACACACACACACACAGCCACCTACACACACATACATGAAAATGGTATGAACGGCATTTTGATAGCCGAAAATAAATGTCCGTTGACATGAAACATGAAATGGAGCAAAATACACGGCGCTATTGTGTGTGCGCTTGTGTGTGTATGCCCTTGCTGATGCCGCACACGCCGTTTGCCCCGTAAGTTCACTGCGCGCACAAATAAACAAATTTCGCTTTATTCTACATTAATTTAGATTTTATTAGCTGGCCTTTAGAGCTTTCTCGCCTTCTCGGCCATTGCCATTCACAACAACAACAACTTAATGTCTAATGCCTCAAATATGCCTCATACATCCCGCTGGCCAGCGCGCAGCCACTGCGCTGCCACAATGAACAGCGCCAGCGCCGGCAGCTTCCACACATCCAGCTCGGGCTGCGTTGCGCCATTACAGAAGTTCTCATTGTTGCAGACGTGGCAGCTGGCATTCTGCACGGATGTCAGCGTGGGGTCCAGCTTGCAGCCAATCTCCGTCTCGTTCACCTCCCCGAAGTAGCAGGCCCGGACGACCTTCTTGACGCCATTTTCTGTGTGCGATTCACGAGGCAAACAACAGTTAAGTGAAACTAGTTTTGCGGCATACTTTTAGGAGCAATTCTTAAATAAACAAACCTAAACGGTGTGTGTCTCGTGTGAGACAACTTACTTACACTATGTTGGCATTAATTGACAAGCTTATTGCATTTACTTAGAGAAC